CTGTAGGGCCCCCGTGCGGTGGTGGGAGCCCGCCCCGCCCACTCACGCTCTGTAGGGCCACTGGACGGTGTGGGGAGCCCGCCCCGCCCACTCACGCTCTGCCCGTCCAACAGCACTGCCCAGCTGCTGCTGCTCTGGGGCGGAGTCCCTGTGATGGTCGCCGTGTTCTGGGCCACGTCCACCAGGGTGGTCTGGTTGGACCAGGGCCCCCGGGGGCTCAGGAGGGCCAGCTGGAGCATCTGCAGCAACGGCTAAGCGTGGGAGGCCGGAGCTCAGCTGGCAGGCCAGGCAGCCCGCTGTGCCCGATCCCTGGGTGGAGGGTTCCTGCTGCCACCTGAGAGCTGCTTACCACCAGACAAGCCCAGGTTGCATACTCCCCACGGCGCCCTGCCCCACCCCACCCTACGCCTTTCCTGGTTGCCGAGGGCTCACCTTGGAGGGACCGTGAGCCAAGCCAAGCAGTGCCCCGGCCACCATCCCTGCGGTGGCTAAGGCCAGCAGCAGTAGCAGGCAAGCTGCTCTCCCACCCCCACAGCAGGGCTTGGTCTTCACCTGGGGACACAGGAGGTCAGAGGCTAGGGTGGGGCTGGCTGGTGCGAGAGGCCTGGTCCCAGGAATGGTGGGAGACTCACCCTGGCAGGCCCCAGGCCTGGGCCCTCAGTGCTGGTGGTGAGGCAGCCCCCTCGCTCCATGCTGCAGCCTTGCGGACAATGTGCGATTGTCTGCCGCCCCTTGACAGTGGCCAGGAAACCCAGGATGCCTCTGCCGAGCCAAGACCGTACCCCTCCCCTCCTGACCCCATGGCCGCCTCCAGCTCCGGATCTGACGTCCGTGCCAGGGCCCCAGCACCTCCCGCCACCTGGGGTGCCTGTCATCAGGTCTGGCTTTCCAGACACCTGCCCTGTGCTGCTGGAGCAGAGGGCTGGAGGGCCGGAGAACGGGGCTGTGGCGCAAAGCCAGCCCTGCCGGCCAGTGTGCAGGGCAGCCCTGGTCTGGCCACGGTGGCACTGCAAGTCTGGATGCGGCAGGTGCAGTTTTTCCTAGAGGTGTTTCTAGTTCCGTGTTCCCTTCAGAGTCCAGGGCTGGGCCTAGGGCTTGGCACACAGCAAGCCTTCGGTAAGTGTCCAGCGTCCGTCCGTGTGGGGTCATGCACCTCTCAGCCTCTGCTGACAGCGGGGCCAGTGGGTGTCCTGCAGAGTGCATATCTGAGACTGGGTAGGTACCAGGCCAGCCACAGAAAGGCAGCCTGCAGGAGACTGCATCTGTTGGCATGTGTGCTTCTCAGCTCTCTGCCCTTATGCCCCACCATCTGCCCTCACCAGCTGCGCCCGGTAGCCCCGACCCTCGTTTTCCTCTCTGCCTCGCGTTCCCCAGTTGCTCAGAAGCCATCCCTCTGTAATAGGAACCGTGGCAGCCAGACTTCCAGCTCTGGAACTGGA